CCCCCCCCGGCCCCCCGCCGGCACCCTCCTCCCCAGCACCCCACCCGCACCCACCCCGGCACCCTGCCGGCGAAACCCCCCCCATGGGGTCACCCCGCACCCTCAGCTCTGCCGCCCCTGCCGAGCCCCCCCGGCAAGCACGGCGCGACGCGGTGGCTCTGCCACAGCCAGCACTACAGGCTGTGAGTCATTTTAAGGCCCAAAACGTTGTTTTCTTCTTCTTTAAAGTGCTTTGAGGCTGCTAAGACAAGAAATCCTGACGCTCGCCGGGCTCGGGGACACTGCGGGGAGCCCCGGATCCCGTATGGGACGGGACAGGCTTGGCACACGCTCCATCCTCTGTGTGCCACCATCCCCTCCCTCCCCGAACAAGTCCCCAGTTGTGGCATCAGGGGTCCCATGCCGCGTCAACGAGTCCACCGTCACCTCGTCCCCGGCGCGGATGAGGTTCGCTGCCGCGGGTGGGTGGGTGCTCCCCCCAGTTTGGCGGTGCCGGGGCTCAGCGCTGGCTGCAGAGCCGTGGGGGAGTGGGCACCCGGTGCGTCCCCCCCACGGTGATGCAGCCCTCCCATTTGGCCATCTCCACGGGGACATCCTCCGGGTACTCCACCAGGGCGGGGGCGAAGGGTCCCACCAGCCAGGGCAGGGGCGCGTGCTGCCCCACGTACTCCAGCAGCTCATCGATGCTCAACTGCGCCCGCATCACCGTCTCCCGGCTCTGCGCCAGCACCAAACTCGACAGATCGTGGAAGGAGTGGGCGCGGGAGAGGGAAGCCTGCACGCCCTCCATGCTGTGCCGGACGTGTCCCGCCGTCTCCTGCACGCTGCTGGGCAAACCCCGGGCGCTGGCGGCCAAGCGGGTGCAGGCGGCGTGGAGCTGGCGCAGGAGCCCACGCAGCATGGCCAGCGTCCGCGCCTCCACCTGCAAGGCAGCCAGTGGGCAGTGGTGGCCCTGGGGTGTGATGCTCCCCCGGGTCTGGCCCAGCTCAGAGACCTGTACCTTGGTGTCCTCCATGGGCACGGTCCCCTAACCCGTACCTTGGTGTCCTCCATGGGCACAGCCTCCCACCTCAAACCTTGGTGTCCTCCATGGACACGGTCCCCCAACCCGTACCTTGGTGTCCTCCATGGGCACGGTGCCCCAACTGTACCTTGGTGTCCTCCATGGGCACAGCCTCCCACCTCAAACCTTGGTGTCCTCCATGGACACGGTCCCCCAACCTGTACCTTGGTGTCCTCCACGGGCACAGGCCCCCCACCCCCTACGATGTCCCCCACGGGTACCCCCGCGCCGTACCTCGGTCTCGTCCATGGGCACAGCATTCTGCCGGCTCCACTCCAGCCACATGCGGTAGAGATGCTGCCGGGCACCGTACAGCGGCCCATCCATGCCCTGCCGCCCCTGCTCGATCTGGGGGAACAGACAGCGAGGTGGGAGCACACTGGGGGGTGCCGGGCTGGCACGGGGCGGGCACAGTCCCCACCGCATCCTTACCAGCTCGAAGATGCGGTGGAGCTGGGCCAGGACCTGCTGGGCGCTGTGCCGTGCCCGCTGCAGCTCACCCAGCGAGCACCGCAGGGCTCGGTGCCGCAGCTTGGCTGAGAGCGAGCCCACGCGGACGAAGTAACTCTCCCGCCGTCTCTGCCGCTCCGGTGAGGCCACCTGGACACCCGCCACCGCCGCCGCTGCGGGGCCAGGGGGTGAGAACCGCGTGGCTGGACCATCCCATGCCAAGCACCGGAGCACCCCGCTGCCGGCGCTGGGATGAGCCCCCCGAGCTCCGCACCCCATCATGGGGACACGGGGGTGCCCGACTGCGGGATGTTTGGCCACTGGGTCATGTGGAGGTGTCACCAAAAAGCCAGGTGGCCTCTCCGGTCACCTCTGCCGTGACACGGGGCCAGCTCTGCCCACCCCTACCCCGTGCCGAGCTATAAATACCCGGGGCGGGCGGTGCACAGGGCTATATTTGCTTTCTGGTTTCCAGGTGAGAGTTCACCCACCACCACGCCGCGTTCCCTGGCTTCGGGTTCCCGCCGGGTGGGGACCATCCCCTGCACAGCGTCACGGTGGCCCCGGGCACCACGTGGGGCTCGGCGATGCCCTGGCACCGCAGAGCTGCCCAGGCACCACGGCACGGGGCCAAGAAGGGGCACCGGGTGCAAGCGATGCCGGGGCGGTGCTGAGCGATGGGGTGAGGGACCCGGGGAGGCTTGGCAGCCCCAAATCTGGGAGAAGGTTTCTGACCCGGCACGGTCGGCACTCACCCAGCTCCTCATCCGTCCCAGGCAGGTATCGCTCCACCAGCTCCTCCGATTTCCCCAGCACTGCATCCACCCCGGTGGCCAGCAGCTGGCCCATGCGGGAGCCCACCACGGTGCTGACGCCGGTGCTCAGCGCCGAGCGCGTCCTCTCCACGCCGCCCTGCACCGCGCTGCAAGCCAGGCCCACCGCGCCGCTGACGGTGGACGACACCAGCTCCCTGGTCCCTGCCACCACCTGGGAGGGGACAGCACAGGGACATTGTGTCCCAGCACCTCACCCAGCACCGCACCCGCCCCCTGTCCCCCAGGGGAGACGTTACCCTCTTGGGGGGCTGCTGCAGGATGGGCAGCTTCTCCTCCAGCTTATCCAGCCCCTTGCAGGCGTATTCGTTGGCGGTGGAAACTAGAGATGTGAAAAACAGATGGCTTTTAACACCCTGCAGCCTTGCAAAAGCTCTCCTAGGGCCAGTTTTTTGGGCACCCCAAAGTTCAGGGGGTGCTGCCCCCCTCCCAGCTTCTCCTCCAGCTTCTCCAGCCCTTTGCAGGCCCCAGAACCAGGGGGGCCTCCCCCCCCAGCCCCACTCCCTCTGCGGCTCCAGCTTGGTGAGGATGGGCTGGGCCCCGCTCACCGCCGCCGCCGTCAGCGTCTTCACCCCCTTTTCGGCGGCGTCGCAGACGGACTTGACGTAGGGGTGGCTCTCCTTGGTGGAGGTGTAGGCGGTGGAGACGGCACCGCAGGCACAGCTCACCAGGGCCAGGCCGGCCACCCGGCTCACCACGCTCTGCCAGGGGGGATGGCGGTGAGCTGGGGGCCCCCAGCGATGCCCAGAGCCCCCCCCAGCCCTCCTTGCACCCCTACCTTCAGCTCCTGCCCATCCTCTGCTGGCGCGGTGGTTTTGGCTGACATGGCAGCAGCGGCTGCAGTGGGAAGGGAAGGATCGTGGGGTGGCTGAGCCTGGTGTGGACCCCCGGGGTGGCCGAGCCCCGTGGCCACCCCTCACCGTGCTGAGGAAAGCAGGCTGTGGTGGGGCCGAGCCCCCCAGCACGCCCCTCCGCAGCCCCTACCCCTCGAGGGCTGAGACCTGCCAGCTCATGACACAAGTGGGAGGCAGCTGGAGGCCTCCGAGCCGCTCAAGGGGGAGTCCCGGGGGGTCTGGAAGGGGTTTGGGGTCAGGGCTGCCCCCCTGCCCTGCCGGGGTGTGGTGGGGTTGGGTCCCCCATCCCCGCCTGGGTCCCCCCCATTCCCGTTTGGGGCCAGGGAGGGGGTTTGGGTGATTCAGCCGGAAGC